GAGGGGGAACAACTAAGTACTGGGACGGATTCATATTGCCAACAGATAAAGAAGATGAGGTGAACTTACTCAGCTTCTGCGGGTAGGAACGCACCATGTGACCAGCTTCGCCGCAGTACAGGCACAGATTCTGGGAGCGTCTGCGCTGGCGTTCCTCAGGCGATAGTTTAGGCCGAGCCAGGCCTAGCTGCATGGGTTCGGGAGCATCTTCAAACGGCAGGTTCTGGATGCTTGGCCTAGTATGTTGACTGGATCCCTGAAATGACCCCCAGGGATTTCCGCGACCCTGACCAGACCTCTCCAATCTGCGCTCCCGTAGCCTACGGTCGATTTTAATGGTGAGTGCAATCAAGTCCTCTAATGTCTCGGGCACCTCCACCCGGGCGAGCTCGTCTTTCAGGGCCTCAGAAAGGCCCATACGGAACTGGTGCACAAGTGCGAACTCGTTCCAACGGGTGTCACCCATCCAGCGCCTAAAGTCAGAGGCGTATTCCTCAGCCGCATGCCGACCTTGTCGGAGTGCGTATAGTGTGGCCTCGGCCGAGGCCGCCCGTTGTGGGTCATCATATAAGATGGCCATGGCGTTAAAGAAGCTGTCGACCGTAACCAGGTGAGGGTCATTGTTTCCCCTTAGTCGGTGGGCCCAGTCTTGGGGTTCACCCTGCAACAGGGAGACAACAAACCCCACTTTCACCGATTCTGTCAAAAAGGTCCATGGCTGCAGTTCAAAATAGAGCAGACAGGAGTCCCGGAATGACCGAAAGCGTGTGCGATCCCCATGGAAGCGCTCGGGTAAGGGTACTCGGGGTTCCGCCATAGGGAGTGAAGTGGGAGGCCCAGGAGCTGGCTCGTGGGCTGCTGCGACCGGTGGTGCGGGAACCGGGGCCTGTGAAACCGGAACAGATATGGTGCAGGCCTGAAACCGATTCTCGATCTGCAGACATCTGTCCTGTAATGTGTTTACTGCTTGCGTCAGGGTGGCCAGGTGCCTGCAAACCTCGTCCAACGGGGAGAGTCCTCCTCGAGGCTCAGTCATGGCCTTCTGGTACTGTGAGGGACCGCCGAGCGGCACCACTAGCACTCCACTGGTCAGGCGTGCCCAGAGCGCGGAGTCTAAGCCCCAGGGTACTTGTTCACCAGGGCCCCTGATGGTGGGGATGGACTTGTAGTACCCCGAGACCAGGTTGCCTCTACTGAGCACACCTGTCAGTGGTAGGGGTGTTCGCCAGGGGTTCCAACCAGGGAGAGCCAGATGTGAGGAGGTCGGGTGAGCCCGATGGGATGGATGGATGGATGGCTGAGCAAGTGCGTAGTCAGACAGGCCGAGTCGGTAAGGTAGAGGACGGTAAGGTACAAGGGAGCAGGCAGAGAATCGTCGGGTCACACGCCAGGTCAGCAACAGGAGATCAGATCTAATAAGGGGCATCCAGGGAGAGAGGTCAGGCAAGCAGGGGTCTGGGCAGGAGAAATCAGCAAGGTCAAGAGCAATCCGGGTCAATAACTTACTAGGCACAGGTACAGGAACACAGGAAGCAGGTAAGACCAGAAGGCAACGAAATGACAGCTCAGGGACCTTTAAATATCCCGCCCTGCGCTGCCATTGGTGCCCAGCGGGCGGCCGCGGCTTCTACTGCGCATGCGCGAGCTCGAACGCCGCGGCCGGCCCGGACCTAGTGCCCGTGTACTAGGTGGAGCAGTGCGCCTGCGCCGGGACCATCGCGGCAGGGATCGAGGAGATCCCTGACAGAGGGAGATTATCAGTGGTCTTGTATGTCTTCTATTTTCTAATTATTGCTCCCACAGTTGATTTGTTCTCACCAAGCTGCTTGCCTATTGCAGATTCAGTCTTCCCAGCCTGGTGCAGGTCTACAATTTTGTTTCTGGTGTCCTTCGACAGCTCTTTGACCTTCACCATAGTGGAGTTTGGAGTGTGACTGTTTGAGGTTGTGGACAGGTGTCTTTTATACTGATAACAAGTTCAAACAGGTGCCATTGATACAGGTAATGAGTGCAGGACAGAGGAGCCACTTAAAGAAGAAGGTACAGGTCTGTGAGAGCCAGAAATCTTGCTTGTTTGTAGGTGACCAAATACTTATTATCCACCATAATTTGCAAATAAATTCTTTCTAAATCAGCCAATGTGATTATCTGGATTTGTTTTCTCATTTTGTCTCTCATAGTTGAGGTCTACCTATGATGCCAATTACAGGCCTCTCTCATCTTTTTAAGTGGGAGAACTTGCACAATTGGTGGCTGACTAAATACTTTTTTGCCCCACTGTATATAGCGCCGTCAATTTGCGCAGCGCTTTACATATATATTGTACATTCACATCAGACCCTAACCCTCAAGGGGTGTACAATCTAAGGTCCCTAACTCACATTCATACATACACATACTAGGGACAATTTAGACAGGATTCAATTCACCTACCTACTAATGCCTCGGTTTACGAATGTTTTACACATTTTTTTCGCAAATTCGAAGTGTATGTCAGTGCCGATTTTTAAATGCAATTGCCAGCTTTTCTTATCTTCACTGTAGTTCACAGAATTAGCTGTCACTTTCCCGGGAACTAAAGGTTACTTTGTTTATTTTATCTCGGGAAACAAACTAAAAGGAAACATTGTTTCTTTTAACTCCAGGAAATAAACTGAAAGGAAACTTTCTTTTAGCTGGGGGGAAAGTGACAGCTGATTCTCTGAGCTATAGTGAAGGAAAAAAAAAGCCGATAATTACATTTAAAAACCGGCACTGACCTATAGTGACTTTTTTAAAGCTTTTTTCTGACCTCTGGAATGGATTAATTGGTTTTCAATGCATTCCTATGGGAAACCACGTTTTGGTTTAAAAATTTTCGCAATACGAAAAGTCCCGGAGAACGCATTAAATTCGTAAACCGAGGTACACCTGTACTAGTTACCTGGTTGTCATGCTGATACATTGATATAATTGGTTCCCGAGTCACTGATCTGGAACCAACATAGAGACTGCTTGTGTGGCCGAGTGATCCAAGTATCGAGAGTCTCCAGAAGATGTTTTGCTTTTACGAAGGCTTCACAAAGATACCAGGAGACTAAGAAAGTAACCCAAAATATCAGGTGACTCCCAAGTTTCCTAGGAGACTTAAAGTAGTTGTAAACCCTTATATATACCCAGGGAAAAAAGGAAATGTGGGTTTCTCAACTAGGGTTCCTCCAGAGGTTGCCAGTGGTTCCCTGAAGAATGAGCAATTTCTTCCTCTCAGATAAGTTACCATTGACACCATTGATCTATTTAGCTATCTGTAAAGGAGTAATTCTTCCCACAACTGTAAGGTGCATTCTTCACCCTGATCACCACATTCATGTATCATGAGTTATAGATATAGTAATTTTTAGCAGGGGTTCCCTGAGACCAGAAATTATTTCAAGGGTGCCTCTGTGTTCAAAAGATTGACAAAAGACTGAACGAGATGATACACAGAGATTAAACAAATCCACCTACATAAGTTGTACCTGTTTATCTGTGGCTTTATCTCTTCTACAGCCTCCTAAAACACACAGATCAAAGACTATTGCTCAGCTCAAACAGGCAGGGAGCTGAGACGTCACTGAGATGATCTGATGTCAAACACTGCAGAGCAAAAAGAGGAGAGCTGAGTGAATTTTGAGACCTGTGTGGAGAGAAAGGACACCCCCCCCCTCTCTACACAGTCTCATAGGGAAACATACACAGCTGAAGCTGTCAATCACTTTCTGTGTGCTGCGGGGTGGGGGCATTTGTCAAGATTCTGTAGTGCCGGGATAACCTGTCAGAAGTGACTAATGCATGTAGCACTACCCCCTTAGGAGTCGCTAGAAGATTTGGGTCCCCCTATAGTCCTGCACAGCCAGGCATCACGCATCTTCACAAAGGCTTGCATCCAGAGTCAGAAATCAGTCCTTGAGCCTTGGTTTTGTTGTTTTATTTAGGGGATTTAAACTGGGATAGGGTTAGGGGTGTGCAGGATGTCCAAGGATACCGTTAACTGAGGACAACTTCCTGGAACTATTTACAAGCCTTTTCTGAAGCACAGTCTCTGTTGTAGAGCTAGCCAGCGTCTCCTTAGTATACAACCCCAGACCCTAGATGAACTTTTCCTCTTCACCTAGCAATCCAGAGGTGTCCTTGAGCATGGGATCCGGTTCCTGTCCCTTTAAATAGGTGATCAATCACTAGTAAGGGGATATCCTGGTTTCCAACCAGAGTGCTCCTTTCCCTATCTACCTGCGGGGGGTGTAGGTGTACTCACTCAGATCCTCTCCTGTACCGCTTGTTGGTTGGCTGCTGCTACCAGGCCTATCAACTGGGCTGCTCCTTCCGTGCCATACAGGTGGTCCTCTCTCAGGTGGCCAGTGAGTTCCAAGCTTTCCACCTTTCCAGCTCCAGGCTCGCAGGCAGGCCCTATCCCACTAGGCCTCCTGGCAGCCTCCTTCTTTACAGCCTCACATTTTCCTCTCTCCTTCTTCCACCTGACTCCGCTCCTACACTCCATACTTCTGCCACTGAGCAGGCTCCAACACTTTTTAAGGGTGTCCAGCCCTTGCCAACCTCTTATTGAGGATTGGCTAGGACCCCTCAAGAGTTTAGCCAGCCACTCCTCAGATCCATCTACTGCCTCTCAGACCTTCCTCCAAAAGCCCTAAAGCAGGGGGAAATTCCAGAGGGGCTGGCCTGCAGAGCCTCTCAGCCCTGACCACAATTTGACCACTCTCTGGCTATCACACCTGGGCTGCTGCTCAGCCCCTGTCTGAACACTGGAGTCTAGCTCCCCCTAGCTAAACTAGGAGGGTGCTACATGTAGAAAGCAGAGGGAAAAAGAGAGCAGAGAGAAAGCACACTCAGTGCCCTCTGTGTGAAGAAGGAGCAAAGAGAGAAGGGATCCAGCCATGCACAGCACTGGATCAATCAGGTAAGTATTTAGGAAGGTGGGGGAGAACAGCAAGCTTTAACATGTTTTTTTACCTTTATGCAGGGAATGCATTAAATAAAAAACGTTTTGGCTTTAGAACCACCTTTACCACTTGAAGACTGCCCACCCGCTAATGTACCCATATGTTGTCTGCTTCCGGGTGTAGGGTGCCCTCCTGACAGCACCCGCTGTGATTGTACACATTGGGAGCTTGTCTGTAAGTCCCGGCCAATGATTCTCGGATGGACCTGAATCACAGCCCAGAGTCCTGTGTTGACAATAAACACAGGGCTCTGTACAGAGGGAATGATGTCTCTCTTTCTCATCCCTGCATTCACTATATCTGCTCTCCCAGGACCCTGCATTCACTATATCCGCTTTCCCAGGACCCTGCATTTCACTATATCTGGTCTCCCCAGACTCTGCATTCACTATATCTGGTCTCCCCGGACCCTGCATTCACTATATCTGGTCTCCCCGGACCCTGCATTCACTATATCTGTTCTTCCCGAACCCTGCATTCACTATATCTGGTCTCCCCGGACCCTGCATTCACTATATCTGGTCACCCACAGTACGCACAACATGGAAATGCAATTATTTTAGTAATTATAAACTGCTAAATAACTTTTTCTCATTAGCAGTTAGGGTAGTCTTGTGATATCAGCTGAGCACTGATTAAAGCTTGGAGAAGGAGTTTTCTTTCTTCTCTAGGAGGATGCAGAACCCCTGACCTCTGTCTGGACAGTGCTGATTGGCCCTGTGCTGATCACATGCCCTCTCCCAAGAAAAAAAAAAACCAACCCTCTCTAGCAATACACACCAAACTGAGCATGTGCATCTAATTACAGATTCAGTCTGTATCAAGTGGTGATTTCAACAAGAGGAAGGGCAGAGAAGACAGGATCAAACAGCATTTTTACAGTGCAGAGGATTAAACCCTTCCACAGTGAGTATAGCAAGCATGCTTTACTGCATATACAAAAAGATTATACTGTTGTGAGTTTAGTAACACTTTGGTAAAAGCAGGGGTGTCAAACTGGTGGCCCACCAGCTGTTGTGGTACTACAAGTCCCATCATGCCTTTGCCTTTGAGAGTCACGCTTGTCACTGTCAATCTTGCAATGCCTCATGGGACTTGTAGATTGGCAACAGCTGGAGGGCTGCCAGTTTGGGTTAAGGGGATAGTTTGTTTGAGCCAAACTATTTAAAGTGATAGCAAAGATAGACTTTAATGAACATTTGTTTGGTGGGGGGGGTCTTTGTTTTATAATACCTTGAGTTGCAAATAGGCACTTAGTGATATATATATATATATATATATATACATACACAAAAATTATAGATGATCCTTCCTCCTAGATTGTAAGTTCTAGCTCAAATTTTTTCTGTGGTCACCTAACACGTTTCTGATACACATATATGTGGAAGGACTTTGGTTGGTCCTATGTTTTGTCTTTAGTCAGGTTCAGGGGCGGACTGACCATTTGGAAACTCAGGCAATGCCCGAGGGCCCGGGGTCAGTAGGGGCCCCATGAGATGCCCCTGGTACCAATTTCATAGGCTTTTTTGAGTTTGGGCAAGGACACAGGGGCCCCATGATCCCCTATTGCCCGGGGGCCCCATGAGTTGTCAGTCCACCCCTGGTCAGGTTTCATCCCGACCGTCTTATCGTTTTATGTATAAAGGCACCATTTATGCCGGTTGTTAGTCCCTTTTCACTGCACAGTTGCGGGCATAATTTATGCCAAGTGTCCATCACCTTGTAATTTTGTGATTCAAGTCACCTTACCCTTGTTTTTGGGACACGTGTTTTTTGCACTATTTCCTTGCATTCATATATTTGTTTGTTTTTTCCCCATAAGTAGAATTTGCATATGATTGCACGATATTGTGAATTTTAGATGTATATACATCTCACACAATGGCCTGTATAAGAGGATCAGTGGCGGCCCGAGGGGTGACACCGGACCCGCTCCCCGAAAAGGTAAGTTGTAAAGCAAGCCGACGATCCCCGCAGGATGGATTGTATCTGCGGATTGGGGAGTATAATGGATCGCACTCTAATCCATTATGCTCAATCCGCAGATCCGAACCATCCTGCGGGGATCGTTGGCTTTCTTTACAACGTACTTTTTCGCGGAATGCGTCCGGTGTCACCCCATATAGGTTGCATGCCGATGATCCCCGCAGGATGGATTGGATCTGCGGATTGGGGAGCATAATGGATCGCACTCTGATCCATTATGCTCAATTTGCAGATGCGATCCATCCTGTGGGGATCGTCGGCTTTCTTTACAACTTACCTTTTCGTGGAGCGGGTCCGGTGTTACCCCGTATAGGTTGCATGCCGACGATCCCTGCAGGATGGATTGGATCTGCGGGGATCGTCGGCATGCAACCCATACTGGGTGACACCGGACCCACTCCACGAAGAGGAAAGTTGTAAAGAAAGCCAACGATCCCCGCAGGATGCATTGGATCTGCGGATTGGGGAGCATAATGGATTGGAGTCCGATCCATTATGCTCAATCCGCAGATCCGATCCATTCTGTGTGGATCGTCGGAGGGGGGGTGTTACCAAGTGTTATCGCAATCCTAGGGATGCCCCTGAAGAGGATTATTTATTCATTTACTTGTGTTTAATTCTTTATTGAGTGTACATATATAGTATATAGGTAATTGTGTGGGAGCGCAGCACCATTCTTTTTTTTTTCTCTTTCTAACGAGCCGGGCCCTCTGATTCCTCTTGTACCAAATTATATTGTAACTGTAATGTCTACCTTCATTTTGTAAATTGCTGCGTAAACTGTTGGCGCTATATAAATCCAGTATAATAATAATAATAATAATAATACATTTTGCATATGATTGCACGATATTGTGAATTTTAGATGTTTATACATCTCACACAGCGGACTGTATAAGAGGATTGTTTATTTTTTTACTTGTTGTTTAACCTCCCTGGCGGTCTGATTATTTCAGATTTTTGGTGCTGAAAGCGGTACCATTATTTTGCATGGAAATTTGGCGTTTTATATTGTAGGCCTGTAATTCTTAGGAATAACTCACTGAAATCTGTCCGAACAAGAGTCTAGTAAACATCCCGGGTAGGATAAAACTTGAAACACGAAATCATAAATGATAATTTAATAAATAATCATAAAAAATAATAATATAATAATAAATTTAATTCAATAATATAATCAAACCAAAAAACACTGAAATTTGAAATATAGCGCCAAGTTCGCACATCACTGAGCAAAGTCGCAAAATCGTTTTCAGTGTCTGATGACGAATTTCCCCCCACGAATCATTATCACTCAATTCTGCAAGTGGTTCTGATTTACTATCGCTGTTCTCTAGCCGGTCTAAAACTGCTTTTGACCTAAAGGGACGCTTTTTGGACGCCATGGACGTTTCTCAGTTTCCAGGCAGAAAGAACAGTAAAAATGCAGGCAGGGCACAGGACAAAGCACTCGGGACAAAATGTATGTGAAATGGTTTGGTACAGTAATGGAATACTATGTGATTTTAGTGATTTTTGTGAATGTCGCTTTTTGTCATTTTCAAATTTCCTGCCGTTCTGTCCCCCGTACGTCCCGACTGTCGCAGGGGACGGAACCCAGATGACAAATGCCGGCATCCGCCGGAGGACATTGCCGGGGACACTGCAGGAGGGACATCGCGGGGAGCGCAGGACAAGGTAAGTGATTGAGGGATCGCGGAGCAGCGCTGCATGGTAAGCCCGAGTGTAGCTCGGAGTTACCGCTTGAGGCACTAAAACTTTACCCCTCTCTGCCAATCCCTCCACTGGCTTCCATTCACTCAATGATTACAATACAAAATACTAACAACTTACAAAGCCATCCACAACTCGGCCCCCAGCTACATCACCAACCTGGTCTCAAAAATCAACCAAACCGCTCTGTTCAATCCTCCCACGACCTTTTCCTCTCTAGTTCCCGTGTCACCTCCTTCCATGCTCGCCTCCAGGACTTCACCCGAGCTTCTCCCATCCTTTGAAACTCCCTACTCCAATCTGTCCGGCTGTCTCCTAATCTATACACCTTTAGACGATCCCTGAAAAACCAGAAGCCTATACTGCAATCTAACTAGTAAACTGCCTTTTATTTCCTCCATCAGCTCATCCCCCCACAGCAATTACCTTTTGTATTACTCAACCCCTCCTCCTAGATTGTAAGCTCTAAAGAACCGGGCCCTCTGTTTCCTCTTGTACCAAATTGTATTGTAACTGTAATGTCCACCTTCATTTTGTAAAGTGATGAGCAAACTGTTGGCGCTATATAAATCCTGTATAATAATAATAATTTTCATTTGTTGTATTTTTATTTAAAGAATGCTTGGTAACACAATAAGAAAAAGTAGATGTTTATAACGTCTCGGAATATGCTGAAAGCCTTGTGTGTCCCTGACAGTTGACCTCCGAGGCGTGTAAAAGCACAGAAGTTAATACACTTTGCACATGTTGCAAGCAACAGGTGGTAGAAAAACCACACTGGCTGCTTACATTCCTTACTTTTCAAACTGGTGGCCCCTGATATTCTGGGATTTACACACTGCCTCCCCCTTCCCCGCGTTCTGACTGACAAGCTAATCGGTGGGCTGGGAAGCCTTTAGCTATTGATTCCAGTGTAATACAACACCCCCAGTCAATGAAAACTGCAATCAAATGTTAAACAACTAAGAAAGGAAGGCATTAGACTGTTGAAGCACTGGGAGAAAGTTGCTTATGGATAGTGAAACAGAAATAAAAAGGGGCCTCTCAGGGCACCTGCTATGAAAAGGCAGGTTATTAAAGAACGCTAGTGTCTCACTGAGCCCAGCAAAATAGTTATGGCTCAGTTAGGCATATCTAAAAGGGGGTGTGGGCGGGCAGGCAGCTTTCGAAACTGTGCTAATCCCATGAGTACTTAATTTCTTTTCTATTATGCTAACCTAGGCAATAGCAACAAGCATTCAAGAAGTCAATAGTATGAAACGGCACTCTGGTCTGGGGCCCGTTGCTGTCATTTTCAGGCTCCTGGGTATTGTGTACAGATTGTCACAAAGGGCCGACGCAAGTTAAAGAGTAGTCCGCCTACTGCTGTAATAAGAGTTTAGAACTATTTAAATTTGTTTAAGATTTTTATTGATTTGCATCTGAAAAATACTTAAAGTGTTATTAAACCCACAACAGTACAATGTAACCAGTAAAGGTTTTTTAAAGCGTCATCTATGGATAGTAAAATTTACAATGTTTGTCGCCAGTGTAATTATAAAGCTTGACATGTTTGGTATCTATTTACTCAGCGTAACATCATCATATTATACAAAAAATTGTTTTTGTTCTTTTTTGTTTTGTTTTGTTTTGTTTTTTTTTTGCGTTTGAAAAATACCTGTGACAAAAAAAGAATTACAAAACCCACCAACTTATCCTCTAAGGCCTCTGCTTTGAAAATTATATCATGTTTGGGGGTTCTAAGTAATTTTCTAGCCCAAAAAACTGATTGTTACATGTGAACAAAAAGTGTCAGAAAAAGCCTGGTCCTTACTAAACCCACAACAGCAAAATCAGTCTGTATATGCAGTAAAGTATGCGTGTTACACTCACTGTGGAACCTAAGGGGTTAATCCTCTGCATTGTGTAAAAAGGACATT